ATCTTGTAGACTCTGTTTTTAGAGTGAAGTTTACCTCAACAGATGATAAAAATGGCATCCACTTAGGGAACAATTCACGATCTGCGTATAACTTGTAAGCTACGGAAGCTGGTGCATCTACTACCGTTTTTACCCTGTTTAATCCAAAACCAAAGAATCTCACTAAAAATGTATGAAACTTTAATGATATATGATATAGTTTTTGTTGTTTGATGAAAAAATTACGTCACGTCTTGCCATTGCATAACGGGTCTGAACGGTTTAGAAGAAGAGATTGAGGAACCATTGATGGAGTTTAGTAGTTTTACAGAGTTAGCTGATGAGGAAGACGATAACATTAACCTCGAAGACGAAGATCGATGAAGCATAGATGAAAAAGTTGGGATTTTTCTTAAAAAAACAGAGGATTTGGTAGTTGAAACTGTACCAGAAGCTATTGATGACATTTCGATTTGCTCTTAGAGAGAAAGAGATTAATCAAATGAAGTATTCATAGAATTTTGTTTTGTTAAAGAGACAAATTAGGAACAGAGACTTTTCATTTTTCAGGACCAAAAAATTCTCTCTCTCTCTGTGTCTCTTTACTCCTTTTGTTAACTGTTATTACACTCCACGCAAAGTGTGTTGTCGTGTTTAGAAAAATAAGCTTAATCTCAAAATTGGAAAGGAAAAAACTTTGTTGCGTGACTCTGTTTTCTTGTTTGGTTTGTTTTCTTCTTCTTTAGGTTTCAGTCAATCACGGCTAAAATTTCTGGTTGGTGTTTTTTTTTTTCTTGGTGACATATACCAGAAATTCTGTTATGAAAGAAAGAAAACTTATCACTTTTAATCATACAAATAGTCACAGTAGTAAAGCCATAATCATGGGATTTAATCGAGTTTCCGGACTATATATATATATACCAAGAAAATTTCTTATAAACCAAGAATCAGAACAATGCAGAGTTACGTACAGATTCCTGCAAATGCAAAGTATTTTACGGTTTTTGTTCAACAAAATCTGACCTTTGTTCAAGTGGTTTTCGCCAAGGTTGCAAATCTTTCAAGTCCACCTCTAAGCAACCTTTCTAAAAATGGCCGAAGCGCCGATGCCACGGGAGTTAAAAGCGCGGGGACTTCGTATGATACGGTTAGCTAAAAAGATAAAACAAATTGCAATGAGAAAATTGTTCCGGTAGTATATGATCTATATGTGTTAAAATATGAGAGTGTTGTTTACTTCTACAATGCACGATGAAGGACCTTTAGGGAAGAACCGAACGCTCCCTCTGCATCGGTTAAATTCCAAAATGTTAGGCTCAAATAGCTAAAGGGACTAGAGAAAAGTCTGATCTCTTTGCTTACTTATTAGGAAGACCTTCAAGAGATCTCCAATGGATTTTCTGATTAGGAGTAGGCTACAACAAACATAAACATTTTCACAATTAGTTAAGAAACACGAAAGCATCGATCGAAATTGAATATATATGATTCGTTCTTTCTTGCTTGCTTTTACCTGTAGATTCCGAGCAAGCCAAGAATACTTAATGTCTTGACCAAAAGCATTGTATTTGAGTGACCAACGTGATAGATCAGGCTTATCTTTCAACACCTTAAAAAACAGAACACAACAAATCAAGCAAATTCTTAAAGCAATAAGATTGAACTCAAAATTTAGTACCTCTACTGATGAAATAAAAGGCATCCATTTAGGGAAAGATTCACGATCCAAGTAGAAATCATAAGCTACTGATACTGGAACATCTACTTCCATCTTCACTCTGAATCTCAAAACCCAACAAAAAGATTCAATTTTTTAACCAGGGAAAGTGGAATTGAAACAAGAAGTGAGTGAGAGATTTTACGTGCAGTCTTGCCACTCCATGGAAACAGAGGAACGTTTTGGAATGTTGAATCTTGATCTACGATTGAGGGAGGAAGAAGAGAAGCCATTTCGGGTTTTTGGAAGAAATAGAGAAAAGGAAAAGGGTTCACGAGGAGAAGAGAAAGCGTTTCTGCGATCGAAGCAAATTGGTAATTGGAGATTACGGTTTATACAAGTTCTTGATAAGTGATTGATCGTGTTCATGTTAATTGCTGTTACAGACATTGAAACTTTTCTCAGTTTTTTTTTGTTTGCCTCTTTTGTTTTCCTTCAAAGATAAGACATTAAAACCTTCACAACCACACAACAACAATAAAAACCCCGATGGTGTGTGTTAAGATCTTTGTCTGTACGTTTAATTATATTATTTCAGTTAGAGAAAACAAATAGCGGGGATAGCTCAGTTGGGAGAGCGTCAGACTGAAGATCTGAAGGTCGCGTGTTCGATCCACGCTCACCGCATTTAATATTTTAGTTTCGTTCTTAAGATTTTCAGCCCATTGGGCCTCTCTCTTACTTAAAAATCTGGGCCTATTTATAGTGTTCGACGAAACCCGAGCGTGCTAATGTGACCTTTTTATGCATTTTTTTATATCTCTTATATAATTTTTTAAGATGCGGTAGACAAATGATTAAGTA